CCCACCTACAGAAAGGGGAGGGAATGGTTAGGAAGGAAGAAGGGCGAAAAGGATCTAGGGGTTAAAGTGGACCATAAGCTAAATATGAGTCAACAGTGTGATGCTGTTGCAAAAAATCAAACATGATTCTGGGAAGTATTAACAGGTGTGTTGTGAGCAAGACACGAGAAGTCATTCTTCCGCTCTACTCTGCTCTGGTTAGGCCTCAGCTGGAGTATTGTGCCCAGTTCTGGGCACCGCATTTTTAAAAAGATGTGGAGAAATTGGAAAGGGTCCAGAGGAGAGCAACAAGAATGATTAAAGGTCTTGAGAACATGACCTATGAAGGAAGGCTGAAAGAACTGGGTTTGTTTAGTTTGGAAAAGAGAAGACTAAGAGGGGACATGATAGCAGTTTTCAGGTATCTAAAAGGGTGTCATAAGGAGGAGGGAGAAAACTTGTTCACCTTAGCCTCTAAGGATAGAACAAGAAGCAATGGGTTTAAACTGCAGCAAGGGAGGTCTAGATTGGACATTAGGAAAAAGTTCCTAACTGTCAAGGTGGTGAAACACTGGAATAAATTGCCTAGGGAGGTTGTGGAATCTCCATCTCTGGAGATATTTAAGAGTAGGTTAGATAAATGTCTATCAGGGGTGGTCTAGACAGTATTTGGTCCTGCCATGTGGGCAGGGGACTGGACTCGATGACCTCTCGAGGTCCCTTCCAGTCCTAGAATCTATGAATCAATCAAACTAAATCTTAGCCCAGTCTTTCTAATACCTCCGGCAGATGTCCATCAGCTGTCTACTGAGACTCAACATGGCCAAAAGCAAGCTCTTCATCTTTCCTTGCTGATACTAGGTGAAAAATATTTTGGTCTAGAACTGCAGCGGATTCACTGTTTAGTGTTTGCGCTATAATTCTAAGAGTGGAAAATAGCGGGGGTGCCTCATTATTCCTTCCCCATCAGATTATTCTTAGCATATTTCACTGGCTCTGTTACCAACTTCCCATGACAAATACTTGAAAGAAGGAGAGACAGATCTGGAAATGGTGGCAGAAGGAGGTGGTGGAGAAGGTGAGAGACGTTTGAAAGCATAACCGTTCCCATTCCACCGTAACAAAAAGTACTGGAGAAGGGAGCTGCACTTCAGAATCACCCAGCAACTACGTGGAGAGAGCACTGGACACGGACTATTCCTGGCTCTGCCACGGGCCTGCTGGGTGACCTTGGGTAAGTCATTGCACTTTTCTGTGCCTCCGATTGCAAACTTGTGTGAGACCCACAACTGCCTATAGGGCTGCTAACTCTTCCCACCAACATCACTCTGTGCAAAAAGCTAGGAAATTCACTTCTAAAAAACTTTACGAACGCAGGATTTAAGGTTGCCTGGAGCTGTGTCGTGCCCCTCCAGAAGAGAGGGATCAGCAAAACTTAAACTTGTAATAATCAGGAAATGCAGAGATAAGGTACACACCAATGTAATCCTAATTCTGACCCACGTGAGCAATGACTCTTTCTTTACTCCTACAACACATGTATGTGCACCCAGTCATTTGAGATAGTGCCCATCACTAAAGTACTAGGGAAAATGTCAACCAGGGCACACAATAAAGCACTTTATCTTTGCTAAGACGGAATTTGATTTTAAGAGAGCTGCGCTGTACAGGAGCTACCGACACCTGTTCTACACTCAGACACTGAGCCTGCTCCCCAGAAACAGCCGCACACTTGGTCAATTGAACACCTCTTCACCCCTTTTTACAACTCTTTCATCCTTACTCACAGAAGTTCCAGCTAACGTTCTACGTTCACTTACCCACTGTTAAGCACACAGATTGCTCTCAGATCCCATCTCACTGCTGACCATTCCCATGGCAAACAGTCCCGTTTCCTCCTGACAACATGCACATATCAGTGCAGAAATGATACAGACTGGAAGCTCTAGGTACACATGCACCTCTCTCCTTTCATCGCACACATGGGGGACTCAGACCCAGATCTTCTGATATCACAATCACACCTCCATCAAACTGCTCTAACTAATGCCTCTACTGTTCAGTGCAGCTACACCTAACACAGTGAGTGCAGCTGGAGTGAAGGCAGATAA